GGTCTACGGTGGCCAAATTCAGAAGCGTGGCTTCCTTGGGGGAGGTGAAGGACTGGGGTGAGGGAGGCCTCTGCACCATGTTCCAGAGCCCCTTTTGGGCTGGGAGGCCGTTACACAGATGTGTTCACTCTGTAAAATCTATACTTTTTATAAAAATCAACTCAAAATGGATCACAGACCTAAATGTAAACCACAAAGCTCTACAAGTCCTAGGAGATGACACAGAACAAAATCCAGGTGACCTTAGAGATGGCTTTTCAAATACAACCCATGCACAGTCCATGAGAGAAATAGCTAATGAGCTGGACTTCATTAAAATGAAAAACTTCACTCTGCCAAACATACTGCTAAGAGAATAGAAAGACAAGCCAGACATCGGGAGAAAACATTTGCAAAATATGTATCCGATAAAGGACTCGCATCCAAATATCTAAAGACATCTGTTCAGGTCTGAGCAGAACTCTCATGGAAGAAGATATACAGATGGCAAACAAGCATACGAGAAGATGCTCCACATCACATGTTGCTAGAGAACCGCAAATTACAACAACGAGACAGCACTGCACCGCCTGCTGGAGCGGCTAAATCCAAACCACTGGCAACGCCAAGTGCTGGCGAGGATGCAGAGCAACCAGAGCCCTCATTCACTGCTGGGGGGAATGCAAAATGGCTCGGCCACTTTGGAAGACAGTATGGGGATTTCTAACAAAACTAAACATATCCTTACCACATGATCTGGCAACACCCCTTGGTATTTACCCATGGGTTGAAAATTTATGTACACACAAAACCCTGTACACAAATGTTTCTAACAGCTTTATTCAAAACTGTCAAAACCTGTAAACTACCAAGATGCCCTTCAAGAGGTGAATGGATATATAGTCTGTGGCACATACATGCAATGAAGTATCATTCAGCAATCCAAGAAATGAGTGAGCCAGACACAAAAATCCATGGAGGAACCTTAAACGTACAGCACTACTAAAATTGCAAAAAAAAAAAAAAAAATCAGCTGGGCATGGTGGTGTGCACCTGTAATCCCAGCTTCTCGGGAGGCTGAGGCAGGAGAATCGCTTGAACCTGGGAGGCGGAGGCTGCAGTTTTGAAAAGCTACATACTATGTGATTCCAGCTGTATGACGTTCTGGCAAAGGCAACATGGAAACAGTAAAAAGAACAGCAGTTACCAGGGGAGGAGGAGAGGGCTGAATGGGTGGAGCCCAGGGGAGGCGTAAGGGTGATGAGACTATTCTGTATGATCCTGTCATGGTGGATCTATGATGTCATGTATTTGTCAAAAATCATAGACTGCACAATGCAGAATGAACCTTAGTGTAAACCATGAGTTTAATTCATAATAATGTATTGATACTGCTTCATCGGTTGTAACAAATATGTCACATCAGCAGGCATGGTGGCTCACACCTGTTATCTCGGCCCTTTGGGAGGCTGAGGTAGGAGGATCACTTGAGCCTAGGAGTTCGAGACCACCCTGGACAACATGGCAAAACCCCATCTCTACAAAAACTACAAAAACAATATTAGCTGGGCACTATGGTGCATGCCTGTGGCCCCAGTGACGTGGGGGCTGAGGTGGGAGGATTGCGGCTGCAGTGAGCCGTCACTGTGCCACTACACTCCAGCCCTGGCAACAGAGGAAGACCCTGTATCAAAAAAAAAAAACAAAAAAACAAAAAAGAATGTGTCACAGCAATGCAAAATGTTAATAATAGGGGAAACTTGGAGGAGGAGAGGTCCTATGGGAACTCTCTGCATCAGCTACTCAATTTTACCGTAAACCTAAAACTGATCGAAAAAAAAAATTATCAATTTTTAAAAATAACAGAACCATGCACTCACAATCTGTGCTCTTTACTGTGTGCATGTTATATTTCAACAACAACAACAACAAGCATCTTTTCTGTGAGGCTTATGAGAGACTCAGTTCTGAACTGACGCAACTCCCAAGGCCCTGGGAAACTGTGCCCATCCAGGGAGGACCCCTCCCGCAAGCTGCGGCTGCTGAAGGAAGCCCAGAGCTGCCCAGGCAGAGACTCAGCTACGTAAGAAATTGAAATCAATCAGGTGGGTTTTATTGGACTTAAGAATTTTGGACTCTGAATTTTAATTCATAATGACAAGAAACTTTGATTTTGGAGTTTCATTCCTTTGGACTTCAACTTGCAAGGAAATTTAATTTGGGGACTTGAATTTCTCTCTGGGAAATCATCATGGAAGGGGGTTGATATTCAAGTCAGGAGCATCTCTAAGTGGTTGGCCTTTTTTATTGAATGATCTCAACGCTATCATTTAACTTCATTGCAGGGCCTCTGACGAGCTGTGCTGGATAAAATGACTGGATAGAATTTGGAATGGGAAGCAGAATAGGGAATGTGTCTTCAGCGGTGTGCACAGAGGAGCCTTGGGACCAATGCATTCATCTGATCCATTTTACAGCCTTCTGGGGACATAAGCCAGACTGTCTACCAAAGGCCTCAGGAGGATTGAAAAAGGAAAGGTGGTTGGCTTAGCTGAAGTGATTCAGGAAGGCTGGAACCGCCCTGGTGGTGATCAGCCCCCTTCCCTAAAAACAAAGGCCACACCCCTGGTTGGCCATAAAGTCCTGATTAAGGCCAGTGAGTTGAGAAAACCAACGTCCTTCCCTGGCTTCACGCCTCCATGCAAAGGAGCCTCCTGCGGCCTCTCTCTGCCCAGTCCCCTTGCCTCTCCGGGCAAGAGCAGCTCAACTGACTGAGGATGGGGAATAGACAAACTGGGCTAACTAAGCAGGCTGCTCACTCCTCCTCCCCACTCTCTTCTTTTCATATCTGCCCACAGGAAGAATGCAGTAGTCCAAGATGTGCTTTCAGGCGTGCAGAGAGGCAAGGGCTCACCCCAGGTGCAAGGCCTGCTGCTGTCTGGCCAACCTCCATCTGCATCAAAGGCCATCCATGTCAGGGGCTGGCGCCAGTGGGCGCAGCTGGGTCTCAGACCAACCATGTCTCACAGCTGCTTTATCAGGAATAAATGCATGATAAAGAAAGTGACATTTTCATCTCCACCATCTGCCTCTCTCGACTGACTGGACAAGAAACAAGAAGCATCCCCTGCAGTATGTACCTGGTGACCCTGGTGTCCAACTGTTTGGCTGTTTTGTCTTCTAAGCATTTACATTCATCAAATTTTTTTCTTTCTACTTTTATTGGGTTTGCTCTTTCTCCTCTAAACTTCTTGAGTTGAACAATTAAAACAGCATCTTAAAGGGTACTTTCTTCTTCATCAACATAGGCATTTAAAACTGTAAATTCCCGGCTGGACACGGTGATTCACCCCAGCACTTTGGGAGGCTGAGGCAGGTGGATCACCTGAGATCAGGAGTTCACAACCAGCCTGGCTAACATGGTGAAATCCTGTTTCTACTAAAAATATACAAAATTAGCTGGGCGTGGTGGCACATGCCTGTAATCCCAGCTACTTGGGAGGCTCAGAAAGGAGAATCACTTGAACCCGGGAGGCAGAAGTTGCAGTGAGCCAAGATCATGCCATTGTACTCTAGCTTGGGCAATAAAAGCAAAACTCTGTCTCAAAAAAAACCTGTAAATTCCCCAGTAATTACAATTTAACTTGCATCTCCTAAGTTTTGATATTCAATATTATTTTGTCATTCAGTTTTAAATAATTAGGCATTTCTATTTTGATATTTTGAGTTCTTCATTGACCCATGGAATAATTAGAAGCATATTTTAAAATTCAAAACACAAAAAAAGCAGTTCGTTCAGAGTGGCTATAGGGGAGAGAGTGACTGACTTCTGATCTTGTGGCATTACGGCCAGAGAAAGTTACAAAATTAGATTTGATACTGATTCTCTCAGTATAGGGTGATGCCTGCTTGGTGAGCTAAAAATATATATGAAGGATGATCAGTTTTTGTAAGTTTCAAAGTATGCTTTAAAATAATGCATATTCTCTAAATGGGAGTGCAGGTTTCCCCAGATCACCTTTTTAAACTGTATTTTATAACATCCTCAATTCGTTTCTTTTTGATCTATCAATCTACTGAGAAGTATGTGTGGATCCCCTATGATTGCGGGGTTTTGCCAATTTCTCCTTATAAGGCTATCAAGTTCGCAGATTCAGGACCACTTCCCTTCCTAGAGAATTACTTTCTTGGTGATTATTTAACAGCCTCCTCGATCCCTGGCACTGCACTTCCTTTGTCTCTGTCACCAGGTGCCAATGTTAAGCTACTTCCATCTGGGGTCAGCATTTTAACATCACTTTTCCACACACCACTTTCTACGTTGAGAGGCAGCAACATTTCAGACCCCAGCTGGGTCCCTTAGGAGCTGTGTCACTGACGAAGATGGGAAAACTGACCATCAACAAAAATACCAACATGTCAGGTGTGTTTCTATTCAATGTAACTCAAAACTATTAGTTTACAATGATACCAGACGAAAAAAAAAGCCACTGGTCCCCACCCTTGAAGGATGCCAGGGAATCATGTAATTATTTCAGAAATTGGCATTTAAAGGGAAGAATCAAGTATTATCCAGCCTTTCCCATACAAACTGCACCTCAACAGAAGCAAAAAGTTGATCCTGGGAAATGTCTGGTTTTGGAAGCATCCCAGCTGACAAGGCAGGTGTTCTAGAAGTGGAATGTCACCACTGCACAAATGACACAAGCAGTGGGCATATGGCTGCTGACGTCATATAAAAAGAAGTAAGCAGAAGTCAAGGGCGCGGCGGAGGTGGTGCACACATCACCCGCTACAAAGAATTCTCGCCAAAAACAAAAAACGTGAATCTAATCACGAATCTAGATCTAACTCCCAATTTGGGGCTGAGTGTTTGCTGCACTGGTTCACTGGATAATTCTAATGCTGTGTATGTTTTAAACGTTTCATAGTACCACTTTTTAAAATAATAACATTGACAATTTACACACACACACAACTCAGCGCAGTGTCTCGCCTTCGCCATGCACACGAGTATTCACCAGCATCAAAGGCGCCGTCTCTGCCCACAGGCACAAGGATGTGGGTCAGGGCGCTGGAGCTGGGCTGCCTGGCCTCTTCCAGCTGGACCAGCTGCAGTCGTGGCGTCGCCGTGGGTGGGAAGCGGTAGAACTGGAAGGTGAAATACACAGTCTCTGGCCATGACGTTCCTCGGCAGTCCTGGGCCACTCTGAATCCAACAATAGCTCTAGGTTAATTGAGTGTCCATGGCACCGAATCTGGGGGGTCAGATGTGCATTTGCATAGGGGGATGGTCTGGGCAGCTTAGCCGCGGGGGCAACAGTAAAGAGGCTGCCACGGTCACCAATGGAACCGCTCTGCTGTGCTCTCAGCAAGCCAGCCAGACAGCAGCACTCTCGGGTGTAAGGACACTCTCCCGGCTGGAGAAGCTGCCTTCGGAGCTACGCTAAGATCTAAGACCTGGACAACACACCATCCACATTCTAACACAGAAGATGGGGTAAAGCGGCTTTCACAGCCTTTAACATGCCGTGGGTGGGTCCTAGCCAAGATCAAATAAAAACAGACAGCGCTCCCGCATCTACTGAGACCTGAACATGGACAGTTCTGACAGGTCAGAACCTCAGCAAAGTTTCTCTTCAACTCAGGATATGTGAAAGCCAGATGAGTAACATAGAATATTCCAGGATTTACCTGCTAAAGGCGAGAAACTGTAGCACTATCTCGTTGCTTTGCAGACAATCCGATTCCTCCTTCTGAGGGTTAAATGTCACAGGGTCTGCAGGGTTGACCGCCTCGGCTGGCTGTTTATTGGCACCCAGAATCTCAGGAAAGCCAGAGGACTGCAGGAGCGCCATGGAGGCCCTCGAGGGCTGCCCTGCAGAGCTGAGACACAGCGAACCCTCAGGGACCCTCCCAGGACGGGGGGCCCATTGATGCACCTCCCTGTGGAAAGCCTGGTGGTGGTCACAGGTCCAACAGTCTGACGGCACAGCGCGTGCCTGGCCCCATCCCGCCCAGACCCACACCTCACCTCCTCGTCTCGGTTCCCACGACAATAGGGGCATGCAAAGGCGTGAATGGCAGCTCCTGTAACTGTTCAGCAATGGATGTTTCGAGGACCAGGGAAGTCTGGCCCAGGTCGGCTTCCAGGTGGGAGATACCACCCTCCAACGGGAACTCCTGCTGAACAAAATGAGGGCTTCCAAGTGAGGCCACCAAGGACCCCAACCCGTAACAACTACCGATGCTCTGAGCTAGGGGATTCATCAATGAATTGCCTCTGGAGAGTTGCCAGCTCTAGCAAATAAAAATACAGGAGGCTCAATACTTGAATTTCAGGTAAACAACAAATAATTTTAGCATAAGTATATTCCCTGTAATATTTGGGACATACTTATACTAAAAAATTATTTGTCGTTTACCTGAAATTCAAATGTAACTGGGCATCCTATATTTCACATGGCAACCCAATTTGTGAGTTGAGAAGGAATCCTAATTTTATGAGCAGGTCAGGACCGTGGAAGATACGTGATGCTTGAGATGGTAAATCATATCAAAACATGTTTATAAAAGCCCTAAAAGATGAAGCGTCCTCAACACTCCAAGATAAACCGTGGCACCGAGCCCCTGGCTGGTGTGTCTGAACAGTCTCTTGTCCCCACAGCCCCTGAGCCTTCCATCGTTCACTCGTATTCCACCTCGAAGGCCGAGGCAGGCCTCTCAATGCGGAGCTGCCTCTGGAGTCAGGAATGTGTTCTCTCAAGCTTCCTTCCCGAGCTTTCTGTTTCGGTCCAGAGGGACACCAGGTCACCCTCATGCCATGTCCCAGGTGCCAGTTATAAAACGCTAGGCAAGCTCTTCACAAACACACGTGCCCCAGAGATGCTTTAGATAAGGCAGCAGAGACTCACGGTACTAAGAGTGTTTTCAAACAAGGAATTAAAAGAAGCTATTTTTCCTCAACATAATTCCGGTTAAGACAAGAGACGGAGTTTGCAGGTGAACCAGCCCTAGCTTCTGAAACCAAACTCCACAGGAATCCCCCAACGCTGGTGGCAACACAGGCCAATCTTGGCAGTAAGCGCGCCCTGAAGCCAGGACGGCAAGCTCCACTCACATCCTTTAGCTGCTGACAGCAAGGAGGGTCCCGGGGTGCTGCGGGCCCATCTCACCTGTTTCTAGATCCAGACACACCCTCCTTTTACTTTCGTGTAGAGATCTAGGGGCAGCTAACTGTTTTTGTGGGCAGATCACAATCTGAATTGAGTGCTGTGACATGAAGAACTCACGGGCCACATTCATCTTTGGTCTCTGAGACAGAATGATGGCAACTGTCTGAGGCCTCAGAGTGAGCAATGCCCCACCCCACCCCCCCACACCCCAGGGAACCTAACTGAGGACCAGCACAGCGCAGAAACCCAAAGTGAGGGGCTGTGGAGCCATTCATTGGTGGGAGGCGAGGAGGACAGCACTTACTGCCTGGGCTGGGGAAGCCCGAGAGCCATGGGGTGGCTGAGAAGTGGGCCTGGCCGAGCAGTGCCGAGTTGGGGACCGTGGGGAGGCCGCCAGCTGGGAAATCGACAGCTGGAAGGAAAGAGAGCACAGGTGAGGTGTTCAGAAGCTTGCCGGTCCATCCACGAAACCTCCAACACATGCTGGCCACACCGGGCAGCCCTGGATCCCATCACAGAAGAGAGTGATGCCTGCAGCCTTCTGGCCAGCGGTGGCTCTGGAATCTGGAACTGCTTCTCAAGTGCCTTTATTTAATGACAGGGAGGTGATTCCATGATCTCCCTCAGATTGTAATATCTGAATAAGAATATTATTAACAAGGAAAACAAGCAAGAAAGGAAAAAGCACCTCAAGCTACAAGGGTGGCCTGGCCTCTGCCTCTCTGTCCCTTGCCCGCCCTGGATTGAGCGCCTCCGAGGCCAGGCGATTCTAGCCGCCCGAGTGCCTGCTGAACGCACCTCCCTATGAAGGCAGTGACAGCCTCGGCGGCCGGCGCAGGCCCTGGAGACAGCTGTGACGGAGTGCCTGCGCCACGTGGCGCTACTGTGTAGCCTCGGACGAGTCAGCTAACCTCTTTTTGCCTCAGTCTCCTGACCTATAAAATGGGGATAATAATAGTGCCTAAACTGCAGGACTGTTTGGAGAATTAAATGAGAGTCCCAGCAAGGATTTGGCATAGTACCTGGTACGCGGTGAGCTTTCTATAAATGCTGCAGACATCTGGAAATGAGTGCGGCTGTGAAACACTGATGTGGAGGGCCAGGGCCCACGCACTCCTGAAGACACAATCTCAGACCCGCACTCCACCCCCAGCACACACAGCCAGCACCTGGGACGCTCACGGTCAGCAATGACGGCCAGCCCACGCCAAGTGCAGGCAGAGAAGCCCTAACATATGAAGAGGCACTGAGGACCAATTGGGGGTGGGGTGCATGAAGCATCCCCAGGGGACCCTGGCAGCATCTTCAGGGAGCAGAGGAGATCTTTGGGGCCTGTCCAGCTTCCCTCAGACCCCACAAGGTATTGTGACCACTCAGGGTCATATGGAAACTGCACCAGGGAAAATGCCAGGTTGGGCCAGCAGGGCAGCCGGGAGGCCAACCACAGACTTGTGCCTTTAGGTGAACCCAGTATTCTTCACTCATGATCCAGTATCCCACTGCAGATGACACACTGAAGCTGCTTCCTGGAGACAGCCTTGGATACTGAATTGGTCAGCTTTGCTAGAAAGTCAATTTCCAGGGTGATGCTGGCAGACAGCCATCAGCAGGAACAAGCCACATCTGACCTCACTCAAAATCACACAGCCAAGGGCCAGCCTGGAGCCATGCATGAGCGCCACAGATGACTTGGGACTCCAGAGCAGCAGCCACACAGGAGCTCAGCTCAGCAGGCAACAGCCCGGCGAGAAGGAGCCTCTCCTCCCACCCAGGAAGTTCCTGCTTGGCCTACAGGGCCGCGGTGCCTGGCGGGTGCCCTGGACACCAACAGCTGCCAGGCACCACTCCTTGTAGAATGAGTATGGGAGAGCAAAGAGAGTGAGGACCACACCACAGCATCTCTCAGAAAAAGCAAAGGCTGTCCAGTCCTGAAAGAGTCGCCACCCTAAGATGTAACTGCCAGGGAGAAGTGGAGACACGCCCTAGATGGCAACATAGGGGTCACAGGCAGCAGCCCCCCTAAAAGCCCGAACTGGTAGTCAGCAAATCAGGGACAGGCTGCACAGACAGGGCAGGAGGGGACACCCTCACCGCCGCCAACAGGCCAGTCCCAGCCACACAAAAGCACGCAGGGAGCAGCTGTGTGTAAGGGGGAACAGAGGGTTTTCTTGTACCCCAAACTTGCAAGTAATTGACTCAGGATTCTGAGTGCAGCCATGGGGGGCCTGGACTTACCCCTGGTCCCACAGGCGAGTCCTGCAGGGCAGCGAGACCTCGAGGTGCTGGTGCTGGCGGGCCTGGGAGGAAGCACAGGGGAGCAGGAGAGGGGCCATCAGCCTGTGCGGAGGCGATGCCCCCGCACCCCCACGCAGTCAGGCCTCCACAGGCTTCAACACCTTGTCTGTAATGGGGTGGCCAGTGGTTACCGCTCAGGCACAACAGCAGCAAGGGTACTGTCTAGAGCCATGGTGTGCCCAGCACCCAGGAGAGGGGGCACAGCCGGCCTCACCCTGGAGGTGTGCGCCCTTGTTCTTTCTGGGTCAGGAGGTCTCAGTATGGGCGCTTGGAGCTCCCTAATGCGCTTTTCCTCACTTGTCATCTCTACATCCTCCCTGCCCTGAAGAGCTGGGGTCTGAGGTCGCCCCAGTCTTGTAGCTCCCTGACTCAGGCTGTCTTGTGAACTTCGAAGCTCCTAGGCAGACGCTGCCACCGGGCCCTCGGCCTTGTGAACGTGCACTCAGCACAAGCTGTTCACCCAGGTCCTGCTGAGGATTCTCCATGAGGGCCCGGTCACACTGGGAGCCCACCCGGGGGAGGCACGGCCAGCTCAGGGACTAAGAACAGCCTTTGCCCTTTATGAGGCCACAGCTGCCTCCCCAGCATCCAGGACTGCCCACAGAGCCAGCAGCGTCCTCCCCAGGCCCACTGCCCCTGCCCAGCCCTGCCTCCGCCCAGGTGGCATCTGTGCTGCTTCTGCAGCCCCACCCCAGGCCACATGGACACCTCAGGGCCCAGCAGCCCCAGGGCTCTCAGCCCCTGCACCTCATCAGGAGGAAGCCCTCGCACCACTAGAGTCTCTGAAACCCACCAGGTTCCTGCCACAGCGGCACTGGGACATCCGCGGCCACTTGTCTCTCATGGTCATTTCACACACACTGCCATCTGCCTTCATCCGCCATGACCACCCAGCCAGACCCCAAGCCCATCCTGACAGGGCCACCCCTACCCACTCAGAGGTCAGGGTGTAAGCCCCATGCACTGAGTGCACTGGGCCACCTGGCTGGCTTCCCTGAGGCCCACAGCCCTGGCCTCCAGCCCCACGTCCTGTCCCCGCCTGGCTCATGACAGCCTCCTTCATGGCGACAGGACTCTCCACTGCAGCAGACACCTCCCCTCCCCATGGGACTTCCAGGATAACCCAGACCTCCGGAGAAATCAGGCTTCCCGCATGGCCCTGTCCCACCTCCCGTCACCCCCATGTGGCCCACATCCTAGGCCCGGCTGCTCGCCTTGGCTCTCCTTCCCTCTCCTGTGGCTTCTGATGCTATGAGGTCAGGCAAACGAATCCCCACATGTCCTGGAATCCTGACTTCCTCAAGCACACAGCACAGGCCGTGCTCGTGGGACCTATGGCCCAAGCACACAGCACAGAGGCCTGTGACATCAAACACTGGGCCCTGGACAGAGACTGCCCAGCCACTTCCTGTTCTGCTCTGAATCCCAACAAAACAAAAACAACAAGGAAAAAGCTGTCTACAGAGGAGAAACCAAATCCAGGAAGCGCCACCCTAACGCCGGAGCTGTGCGACCACCAGAGCCCATCCCCACCCACGCCTCTCCCAGCAGCTTCCCAAACCCATTCGAGGAGGTACTGCCCCAGCTGTGAGATCCAGTGGAGACCCTGCTAAGGGCCTGTGGGTGGGGATGGGGGTACAGGAAAGCAGTGGGGGCCAGGCAAGAGGGAGCCCCCAACCCTCAGAGGATCCAACTGCCCACCCCGGTAGGCACAGCTCTAGTCCAACCACCTCCTGGGCAGTGCCCACTTGGCCCACGCAGCTCCTCTGTAACCAGCTACAGTAACATGGCTCCAAGAAGCCCAAAGACTCTGGTCAGAGGAGCCTGCCGTTCTATAAATGAGCTCCCGCTCGGAGGAAGTCAGCAAATGATCTAGCAAGCTCTGCTTCCCTGGGAAAATATCATCTCACTAAAAGCAAAATGCAGATGAGGGTTCTGCAGGGGCCGAGCTGTCCTGAAAGCCAGGTGCCTCTCCCCAGATTCCCCAAGCGCCTCTTACAGTCCATTTCAGAGCTCCGTGCAGCAACCCCTCCCCCCTCCTCCCGAAACAGCCGAAAGATGAAACAGCAGAGCGGCAAGTGTAGCTCCACTCTGTTCCTCCGTAAATGGGAACTCTGAAAACTCCGCAGGCTGATTTTGATAATGAGGACAAACTGCAGGAAATGGTTCCATTTTCTTCTGTGGAGAGAGCGGGCACTCAGGGGCCAGACCTCTACTCCTGTGCCATCCTCTAGGGGAGGAAAGCCAGGATGGAAAGTTAAACCTTCGAAGCACATCTGAACTTCCTGCACGCACTTTATTTCCCCATCATCTCAAATGTATGCACAGTGTGGGCAGTTTTTTCAAGTAACTCTTTATATCATGACTTATGCAATTTTTTCTTCCAGGAGAGTAAAACTACCTAAAAGGCCTTTGGTGACCATTTAAAAAGACACCTGGTGGGAAGCCCAGGCCCTCAGGGCCAAAAACACAGATCCCTCTGGTGAAGCACAGCAGGAAGACATCCGCCACAGCCAGGAAATAACTTGGTTTTGAATCTCTTTGTTTTAATGTTCAATGTGGTCGTGGGATAAGGAGCTTCCCAAACTATACCCATAGTCCTACCTGGAAGACAGCGTGGCCGCCAGCGGGCACCCACTGTACTCCAGCCCCAGGAGTCTCCCAAAAGCCACAGTGGAGTATGGGACGCCTGACTTCTGCCACATGCCAGGACTCGGCTGACCAGCACCTGAGCCAGCTACTGAACCTGGAGCAGCAGGCGTGTGCATAGGACGCAGGCGGGAACGGCTGCGGTGGGCAGAGGGACGAGTACCAGGCCTTCTGGGACAGCATTGTGACAACAGCGAACATCACCAGATGCCACCCAGGTGCTCCTGCAAACAGAAGCTACCGTAGCAGAACCCACAGCTGCTGCGAGGGCCAGAGGAGCAACGGGAAGGCAGGAGGCCGGCGGCCTGTGCTGACCTGAGCAGGTTAATCTGCGTAGCCATGAAGGGGGGCCTAGGACAGAACAACGCAGGGGTCTCTCCAAACCACAGCACTCCAGATCAGGGGTGCCTGCCTGACAACTGCCGTCTCCCCGAAGGTGCTCCCCCAACCCCTGAAACAAGCCCTGTCCCCAAGGGTCTTTGTTTCTAGACAGCTTATGTGAATGTCTCCTTTCTGTCTTTAAAAATCTCTCCTTTGCACCAAGCCCCGGCTGCACATGCAGTGTGACCTGCACACGCAGCTCGGCTACAATCTCCTGCTAGTCCCCAGGCAACTCTGCCACGGAGAGCCCATGCCCACGGCCCATTTCAGGTTGACAACATTAGAGAGAAAAATGAAAGAAACCCACCCATGTAAGCAGGTATGCTGGCAAATCCACGGTAACCACACCTACTCGACGTGCCTCTAGGAAGCATGTATTTGTTCATTACCTGCATAACTTAAAGTAAACTAAATTTTAGTTTAACGGCCATTCTAAGATATCCCTTCAGGTCCCCGCTGGAGCCTGAAGTAGTAACAGGGTCAGCACAGAACCGAAAGCCAAGACCTCCACAGCCAGCCCAGGAGCAGCTCCTTCTCCCAACACAGAGCCGCTCCATGCACACCCCTGCGGCAGAGGCCTGGGCTCCCTCACTGGGAGGTGGAGTCAGCGTCTGGCCGAACCACCACGGAATCCCAGTTTCAGGGAAATAACCTGGATTAAGAAGAAGAGCACAGAGCCTGGCCAACGTGAGAAAACCCCATCTCTACTAAAAGTAAAAAAATTAGCTGGGCATACTGGTGGGTGCCTGTAATCCCAGATGCTCAGGAGGCTGAGGCAGGAGAATCGCTTGAGCCCGGGAGGCAGAGGTCGCAGTGAGTCGAGATCTCGCCACTGTACTTCAGCATGGGCAAAAAGAGTGAGACTCCGTCTCAAAAAAAAAAAAAAAGCAGCACAGAGACTCAGCTTTTCCACGGCTGCTCTGAGAAGTTTGGGGCCAGTGGGCCCTCAGACGGGGTTGCCAGCACACACCTCCTGCCCAGAGTCAGGTCTGAGAAGAGCAGGAAGAGACTAGGTCACTTACGACACCAGAGCCAACTGCAATCCAGAACTGCTCCACATGGCTTGCTACAGACAAAGGGAAACTGACTTCCCACCGAGGGAGGTTCCTCCACCTGTCAAGATTCCTTCTCCCTGACGCTCTAGCACTCTCTAGTCAGTCTCCACTTGCTGAAAGCCACGGTCAACAAAATCGCCCAAGTGTCTACTTTTCTGTCAACGTAGCTTCAAGAAACTCAAAAGCTTTGTACTCAACAACAGTGCAGGCCTCAGGAGGCAAGGCAGGGCCTGTGCTCCGACCTCAGCCCCGGTGGCCACACATCCCACCTGGTCACACAGAGCGCCTTCACACTGCCTCCGCACTCGCCTGGAGGGGGGCCTGCAAGAGGAGGCAACGCGCACATTCCACACTCAGAGAGAGGGACACGCCATCGGGCCCACAGCTCTCAGACAGCACTGTGGGTCAGTCAAATGGCAAAAGTTGTACAGTGAACAAATAATGCTCAAACATGCTCACAGGGACAAGACCCCCGAATTCCTCCTTCCTCCATCCCCAGGGAGAGCATTCTATATACAGGGCAGAGAACAGAAAAGCACACAGTTACCCAGAGTGCTAATACCATTAAAACTACAGCCCCAAACAGAGGCAGGAGCTCTCCAGCCAAGCCCATGGCCGCCAGCCACAACACTGCCCCCAAGGAAGGGTACTGGGCTCTGCTTCTCAATGCACTTGGGGCAGGAGACAACAGCGATGAGGAGGCAGCCTCCCCGCAGGCAACCCTCTTACTTCCAGCGTCACCGCACCAGACAGATTAAAAGTACTGGCTGGACGTGGTAGCTCATGCCTATAGTCCCAGCACTCTGGGAGGCCAAGGTAGGAGGACTGTTTGAGTTCAGAAGTTGGAGACTAGCCTGGGAAACATGGCAAAATCCCATCTCTACAAAAAGAAAAAAAAAAATAGCCAGGTGTAGTGG